CATGTGACATTCGTTCTTACCTCTTCTAAGTCTGGCGGGTTGCCTTCTTCGTCGGTATCGTCCTCATCCTTCCATTTGTTAAAATCACTCTTTAACCAATGAGCCTTTGTTTTGTCTTTAATTAATCGTGGCCAATATGGTCCCTCTTCTTTCTTAGCAAGAATCAACTCAAAAGTTCTGCCCTTCATATTTTTTATAGTTTTGCTGGGCTCAATTTCTTTGTACAGATTAATTGTAATTTCATGCATTTTTTTATCTGTACCTCCCTCTCCTTTGAAGTATATCTTTTCTGATTCAATTTCAATAACAGGATCTTTACAATCTTCTAAGCAGATAGTAACATATAAGATATCTTTTCTTTGAGCCCACATGACTGGGGGAGGAGGTATCCTAAAAGTTGAAAAAGGAACAAAAAATATTATGTATGTATGTATTTGATAGCTGTATATAGCAGAAGCAGCTTTGCAATTGTAGCAAAATTCTTTTCTTTCTATCTTTAATATGATTGATCTTGCCTTGAAGTACTTGGATCTAATCATATAAAACGTATCTTCGAATACAATTGCAAAGTTGCTTTTTCTGCTGAACTCAAGATAAAACTCGAAAAATTTTAAATATTCAATTCTAACCGAATAAGAATTAGATGTAAAAATATCTCAATTTGAAAAAGAAAAAAATAAATTTTATATGAATCTATAATTAATTAATCTAATTAATCTAATTAATTAATCTTGAAATTTGAGTTGAGACATTCTCAGACTGAAGGAAAACACTCGTCTTTTTTCTTTTGATATCCCTTTGGTTTTCAATTCTAACCAGAGTTCTACAAGATAGTATTATACTAATATTATATTAATATATAATATTATACTAGTGTGGATAAAATATCTCATAATTTTTAAAGTAACTAACATTACTCGAAACATTCTCGTATTTATCATTTCGAGTATTAAATATCCTGAAAAATCCACATAAACGAATTCCCACGTGTACAGTGCGTATTTTATGTAAAGGACCTGTTGTACCTTTATAGGTTAGGGACAAAAGCTCGATGTTAGTTCGTGACGCATCATGATTTATTCGAGTCATTATAGCGCTGATATGCGCGACATACGATATCATGCGGCGCAGTGGCGCGAAGAGATTCGCTTATCATTGCATTCGTTAATCATTGCGAAAACGAAAATACGAGCACTTCGAAGAAGCGAGTCATCGGTCTCCGTCGTCCGGCGCGACATCGTTTCGATTTGTACGAAAGAGACAGAAGAGAGAAAAGCAAAAAGAACACGTCGATGCTAGATGGAGATTAACGCGAGCGAATAATCGTGTCACGCATTTTCGTTCGAAAGAAAGATTACCGCCATGCGGTTAGGTCGTATCTCGGTCGAGAACTTGGAGAATCAATAAACCCGTCTCACCAACATGGCGATGCTACGGAAAGTACGGGGCGGCATTTATACAACCGCGACAGTTATTCGTGGCTATACGCGGACGCGCGGACACGGAGCTCATCATCGGGCCTGCCGATGCGAACCACCACGCCAATTTATGTCAATCCTAGGATACTTACTGGCTTTCTTGCGTCATGCTTTCGACAGCTTCGCTTGCAACGAGAATGAAACAAACACACAGCGCACGTAGCGCACTCACTCACGCTGACACCGCCGCGCGCCGCGCGCTGCGCGCCGCTCGTGGCCGTTCGGAGAACCCGATTCGAGATTCTAGATTGTTCGGCGTTCGCGCCATTTCGATATTTCGTATCTTTTAGGGGCTCCGCACAATAAAAGGAACAGAGAACAGAGAACAGAGAATAAGAATTTCAACCTATCAGAAATGTGTATTCCATAATACATGATTTCTGATAGGTTGAAATTCTTATTCTCTATTCCTTGTTCCTTTTATTGTGCGAAATCCCTTATTCTCATATCTCTTAATCGATGTGACTCGATTGGCAACTTGCCAATTTGCATTTTGCTCTCTGCGATTTATCTATCTACATAAACTTACAGAAAAAATATTTTAAAAGTTGTTATTTTCTTTACGATGTAATAGTTTAATCACTTATTTTACAAGTTTATTTCTTAGTATCGCAATATATTTCGTATATCTATTTCATCCTTCTCGCCGCAAAAGAACGTGTAACGAATTGTATTATAATTGTATTATAATTGTATTATAAATAAACCCATTCTTTTTAGCTGAACTTTTGCATTGATTCATCTTTCTTCCTCTTCTTTCTTTTGAAAAGAAAAGGAAAAAAAGATGAACCGATGCAAAAGTTAAAACGAACATGCCTAATGTGAACTAGTTAGAGAAGGCTACTTGAGAAGATCCATAGCGATAAGAAAAGAAAATTTCGCAATAAATCAGCACACATCAAAAACACGTTTATGTATACAAGGTGTATCTTAAAAAGCACCTTCTAATCATATATTCCTGATAAAAAACTGAGTTGAAAGTTGAGCTATACTGTTTATTTTTACAATAGTTAACGAGATATTAATTCCTAAAGATTGCCAAATATGCAGATAAAATTGATATAAGACCAGAATCAGACTATGCATTGAGATTGAAAATTAAAAATTGAAATTTGACCAGTCCTTTCTTCACTCTGGTGAAGAAAAAATTTTAACTCCTATTGTTTTGATCAAATAGGAAATTTTTATTATACTCAAGAGAATCAAAACGTCTATATAATTTGTCTATTTTAATAAAGAATATTTATACATAACACGTTAACAGTTTATGTTAGCTTTGAAAAGCTATTATTTTATTATTTGTCTGATTTATTCATTAGAGCCTAATTCGAAAATTATTTGATATATTTATAAATAAATAAATGCGTGTGCGTGCGCGCACATATCGGTAGGGATAGAAACAAAGCGGTTTAAGTCAGAGTTTACAGATTGTAGGTCATTCGTTGAGGAGGGGGCACGGGGAGAAGAAATCCGGTGGGGAGCCATTCTTCTACCGCAAACTAACTGGACACGCGGACGCGAGTACAACAGTTTCTTTCTCCTGCAGGCTCGATTCAGGTGCGATTTGCCATCCGCCGCGCGCGTCCGCTCTTTTTCGTTATCGTACATGCATGCGTGCGGGCGTGCGTGCGTGCGTGCGTATATGCATGCGTGGGCGCGCGCGAGTGACACGTAAGAGAACATAAAAAGGCGCGCCCTGATCCCCGTATCGTGATCGATCGATCGATCGTGCGACACGACTCGGTGCGACGCGACACGGTGCAGTCGCGCGGCTTCTCAATACAAGTACAACGTATGTACGCACGTTTTTTCGCGTAATACGGACAAAATCTTCTCACGAAGATAGAAATATGATAAGAGAGCAAATGTAAGTTGTATAATACGCAAAATAGTGTGAATTAAAAGCGATATTAGAAAGCAATTAATTTATAGGAATTAGGAAACTGCAAAGGAATACAGAACGGATTTATCGCGCGCTTTGAAAGAAAAGATACTCTCAAGAAAATGTCTGTTTTCACAAGATGTATATATTTGCACGGGAATACAGATTTTAAGTTATAAAATAAAGATAAGAATGAAATAGATAATATTTATGGATTGAGAAAATATGATACAACGTGTTCCTTTTTATTATTATTATATATTATTCCTTTTTATTATTAATATATATTATACCGTTATTTACATTATTATATACATATATATATTTTTTTAAATTAAATTAATTTCGTAATTGATAACGAAGATAACAATTGTAATGCAGAGAATATATTTTTGAATTTTAACATGTGAATTTTAACGTTTGAATTTTTTCTCTTCTGAGATATACTTATCATATCAAAAAATACGAAGAAGAGAGAAACAAGAAAGTTAAAGTATCTTTAGAATTTGTTAAATTTCATGTATTACTCGAATACATAAAATACGTATAAAATTCAAAGAAATAAAAGTATTAAACGCAACACGACGTTAAACCAAACGTTAAATCTTATGTTTTTTTTATCCTGTCAGCTTTGTGCAACGATAGGGACTAGGTATCCCTCAAATGTGAGTGCGACGAGTATTTCCGGATTGGAAAGAAAAAGGTGTGGATGACGATAATGACGATGAGAAAGACGACGTGACCTTCGATTTGAAGCGAGTATCGTGAGCATCGGTCGAGGCACTATGTCGACGAGTTCGCTCTTTTACAAGGACAAATATGTGGTAAGTGCGTGATGCACACACACACACACACACACACACACACACACACACACACACACACACACACACACACACACACACACACACACACACACACA